CCCCCAAGACGGACGCGCAGCCGGGCAAGCAGGACCTGAAGCGGGAGGGCCGCCCCCTGCCCGAAGGCGGCCGGCAGCCCCCCCACATCGACTTCCGAGACGTGGACATCGGGGAGCTGAGCAGCGACGTCATCTCCAACATCGAGACCTTCGACGTCAACGAGTTCGACCAGTACCTGCCGCCCAACGGCCACCCGGGGGGCCCGGCCGCGCACGGCCAGCCCGGCCAGGTCACCTACACGGGCACCTACGGCATCAGCAGCACGTCGGGCTCCCCGGCCGGCGCCGGCCACGTGTGGATGTCCAAGCAGCAGCCGCAGCCGCCGCAGCCCCCGGCGCAGCCGCAGCCCCCGGCGCAGCACGGGCTGCCGGCGCTGAGCGGGGAGCAGGGCCCGGCGGCGCAGCAGAGGACGCACATCAAGACGGAGCAGCTCAGCCCCAGCCACTACAGCGAGCAGCAGCAGCACTCCCCGCAGCAGATCAACTACAGCTCCTTCAACCTGCAGCACTACAGCTCGTCCTACCCCACCATCACCCGCTCCCAGTACGACTACACCGACCACCAGAACTCCAGCTCCTACTACAGCCACGCCGCGGGGCAGGGCAGCGGCCTCTACTCCACCTTCACCTACATGAACCCCACGCAGCGCCCCATGTACACCCCCATTGCAGACACTTCGGGGGTCCCCTCCATCCCCCAGACCCACAGCCCTCAGCACTGGGAACAGCCCGTCTACACGCAGCTCACCAGACCCTAAAGCCGCGGAGAAAAGCGGGAGAGAAGAAAAAGAAATTAAAAAAAAAAAAACGAAAAAAAAACCATCAACAACAAACAAAACAAAATAAAAGAATCAGAAAAGCCTGAAAGCAGCAAGAAGAACTTCCTCAGACTTTTTTTTTTTTCCTTCTCTGAAATTGAAATAATGATTAAAAAAAAAAAGACGCTCAAGTGAAAGCTGGCGGGGAGGAGAGAGCGCCTCGAGCCTTCTGCACTACAGCATCCTCCAGGCCCCGCTGAGAGCCAGCAAAACTCGGTACACGCTTGCCAAGGACTGGACTTGAACTCTGCTTCCAGCATGGAGAGGAGATTCCTACCCAACCCACCCAGCTGTCTTGTTCTCTGGACTTTTGTAATGATTTTTTTTTTTTTTTTTAGCAGTAATTAAAAAAAAAAAAAAAAAAAAAAAAAGAAAAAAAAGGGGGGTAAAAAAAAAAGAGAAAACTCAGAGTCCTCTGTGAGGAATATTCTCTATTTTAAATATTTTTAGTATGTACTGTGTATGATTCGTTACCAATTCGAGGGGATTTATACGTATTTTTTAGAGATTTTTTTGAAAAGGCTCTTATTTTTCCAACAGCTAAAAAGAAAAAGAAAAAAAAAATGACACTTAGTGGAGCAGCGCTAGGCTTTCTTGCAGTCAGAGGTATTTTTGTATAGATAAGTGTCTTTT